GAATTTCTAAGAAAATATTGGATGCTCATCACAGTTGAAATAAACAAGTAGGGCCAGATTTTTCAAAGCACTTCTTGCCAATATAAACATATAGGTGAAGTAGCCAAATCCTTAGCACAGCTCACCACCCACTTTTGTTTCCTCACTTTGTAACTTACCAAACAGTAATGTTTACACCACTGCTGAATCCCTCTGAGAGCCTAGCTTTTACTGTCTGGTATTACTACGTTTTGATGCAAGGGATCTTGGCAACAACCAACCATATTATCCATGGAAATTCACAGAATATAACTGACATTCCTGAAATGCAGAAGTACCTGTACTTTAAGGTTTTTCCTCCTTCTTTCATAGGAATTGAGAAAGTACAAGTGAGCGTTTTTACTGAAAGGGGACCTCGCAAGTTGTTGCTTGCCCACCAGTAAAACTTATTTATCTTTATTATGTGAACAATTCCTCTTTATAGTGAATAAGATTGTGTTGCTATATAAATGTCCAATTACAACTTACCTCCCATACTTACAAAATAAAGCAGCGGCTGCGTGCACATACGGCAGCCCTAGCACTGCCTTTGCTCTGTAACATTGCCCTCAGTCAAGCTGTACATGCACTGGAGTTCTGTTTGTTTCCTTTTTCCATCATAATCTGCTTAATGTCATATTAAGAAATGAATGAGTACATGTCTAGTAATGGTGGATTGCTAACATGCAATTCACCCTGCATACCAGGAGGAGTGTCAAGCCCACAAGCAAAACACAAATGATACAAGCACAATAGGTGACAAGTATGAACCAGAGCCCTTTGCATTCAAAAGAGACTCCTCCTGGCTTGGTGTGGTTTTGGATCAAAACTAGGATATTATTCTGTGTCACTGCAAAGAGAAAAGAGAAATGAAGTAAGTGGATAAGGACAGGGATCTGCTGAAAAAGGCTATCCAGTTGCAAAATGTGAAGTTGTGGATGCTGTACAAGAATCACTATATAATTTAAAAATCATATTGAAAGTGTGATTTTTTTTTTTTTTTTTAATTTTTATTTTTAAAATTTGTTTTGACTGCTGGCATCTAAAATGGTAGCTCTAGTAAAAATAGCATTCTGGAAGAAGGGGAATAGACTTATACCTTGAGCCAATGCTTGTTACTGTCAGCATAAGCATACTGTATTTTCCATAAACATACAACATGCATATTAAAGCAGGGAATGTATTGCTAGAACCTGCTGTGCTGTGCAATAAATTGCTATTAACTATCTCTTTTAGTATTAATAGTGTACCAGACACCCTGTTGCTCAGTAAGACAGGAGAAAGGAGAGTGAGCCACTGCTAGTGTAAGCTGGCATTGCTGCAGTGAAGTCAGTGCCTTCTGATCTCAGAGAGGGCACAGACTGAGTACCAGATCTCCTCTGGCCCTCACTCCGGTGCAAAATGCGGCCAGTTGATTTTTTACAAAAAAGGAACTTCAAAACTTTCCACTGTAAAAACTTCTCCCCAACAGAATTATGGATCTTGAGTAATACAGGACTTGTTTTGTCTGTACTCCCCTCCAGAAACATCAGGGTCCAGCAGGATGGGGGAGACCCTTTGCCTGGTCCTCAGAGGATATTGGCTGCTGGAGAACAGCAAGCAGGAGTGCAATAGCCAGCACAAGAACGTGACCACATATGAGCTACGCTGGTTTCTCTAGCAGCCCCCCTCAGCCGTACCTCCTGTCGTGGTACCTCCTGTGGTGCCCTGTACTCAAATAGCTGTCGGGTGGGATAACCATGCAGGTGGGAAACCTTGTCTGTGCTGTCCTGGCCTTACCTTCACTGTTTGTTTGTTTCAGATATGGAGACAAAAAGAGCAGAAGCCCTCTTCAATGACAGTAAGTGAGGGCTTTTTAAGCCTGGGAAATCTCCGATTGTTTTAATTAGCATTAATAGTCTCTGAGCACTTTTCCTGGCCCTTAAAAAGCCTTTTCTCATCTGCATGTCTAATGAATGTGACCTTGTACTTCACACAGATGAGCCGTGTGTTTAGAAATCCTGCTCAGTCACGAGGAAGCCTTTTTCATTAGTGTCTTCTGGGATACTTAGGAAGACTGGCTTTAAAATAGTGGTGATGGGGTAAAAATCCCTTCTAGAAGAAGTCTACACCCACTGCTGAGTTTCCTGGTCAGCTTTTTTGCAGTGGGATGTTCCTTCTGTCAAAAAGATCAGCAATTCTGTGAGAAAAGAGCAAACTGAGAAAAGAGCAAGTGCTGAGGGCTCTATAGAAATCCCCAGTGTGAGGCAGAGAGGAGAATGCAGGTCCTGCTGCATAAGTGCCTATGGCACGCTTCTGCCTCCAGAAGTGCTGGTGTGGAAGGTGGAGGGTGCATCTTAAATGTAAACCCTGCCATCTAGGAAACAGAGGACTTAGCCAGTGAGGGCTGAGCACTGTAATGTTCAGGATACTTGTTTATTTACTAGCCTCATCCAGTTGCTGTTGGTACCACTGAGAGTTTTTACACTGTGTCTGCTTAATTGTGTATTTGGAAACACAGAGACTAAGCCATGTTTCTGCATGAAAGCTAAGACATTTCACATGACTGCTAGGTGTACATAGTAAAATTGAGTGAGCGAGGAGGACTTCCAATAAATAAAGGAACTTAATTGCTTGGGCTAGTTGACTGCTTTGATGTCAGGCACAGCAGCTAGCTGAAAGGTGTACTACAATGTGCTAAAGGCAGGAGAGTCCTTATCACGGATTTGAGTGCATTTTATATTTAAGCAGATTATAGTTAGAAGCAAACTCTATAATAAATTGATTAAAACATGTACTTAAATAGAATACTTTGTCAAATGTAATCCTGCCTGCACAGGGCAGACGCCCTGTCCTCTGCCTCCCTGACGTAAAGCATTAGAACTGCATCCTGGAGCAGCGACTGCAGAATCTGTTTCATATACGCTTGTCTTGGATGCTGTAGCATAACAATTAATCTCTACCTTGCTACCTGTTTTTTTCCTATACGCACATTAAGTGATGAGATTTACACCTGAACACGTACCAGCATGTTGTTCAATTGGTGCTTTAAGGATGGCAGCCTAGCAGAGACCTCTAACACAGCCTGCAAGTGAGAAGTATCCCAAAAGCCGATAGGATTGGGCACATGCAGAAGAGTTTGGAATAATGGCTTTCTGTGTGCACTCAGAAATTGGGAATATGTCATTTTCTTTAGTGTGCATTGGAAATATACGGAAATGTATAGAAGTTACATGAGCCTGTGATTATAATGAAAATGTTCTGGATTTTGGAATGGCTAGTAGCACAAAATTGTTCCTTATGGAAATGTAAGGCAGTATGATTGGTCTTCTCAAGGTATTGCTGTAGGATTAAGTTGAGGTAGTTTGTTTTAGAGATGTTTTAAAGCTTTCAGAGAAGGATATCCGCTTGTTTGGAGATTTATTAGTCATAAAAAGCCATCTTTGCTTACAAGTTGGGTTTTTTTTAACTCTGGGAAGGTTTGCTCTGTTCCTCAGCAGCTGGCTGTCAAGTAATGGAAGATTAAATAACATCACTTTTTGGATCCATTTTAGGTGCTGGTGTTCTGGGGCACTGATGGAACTGTGAGTTTTTCCCTGAGTTTTGAACATTGACGGCTCAGGTCGTTGATAGGACTGTACAGTTTTAGGACCAGTAATTGAGGATTACCAATAGCTTTTAGGAGGGAAACATGCTAGCGCAGACAGTCTTATCGATTATGGTATATTCTCCAGTTTTCCTTTCACATGGAAAGTTTTGGAGAAGTAGATTTAGATTTCACTGATTTCCTTCATTATGGTTTTAAATCTCAGAACAGGGCAGACTCTACACTGAGCACGTGAGCTTCTCAATATTGTATGACTTTTTTTTCCCCAAATTCATGAACAGCTTTCAATCTGCTGTGTTAAGGCTGCTGCTTTTGACTATGAGGTACTGTTAACATAACCTTGTGCAGATCCTAGCAGGAAGGGGCAGAGGTTACACTCTGCGTGGCTCCAGTGTTTTGCCTCTGAGGACTTCAAGGGCCCGATGGCTGGCAGCCCTTCAGTGACGTACTACTCATTCCTCCTTTGTCCCCCTCTGGGTCACTGTCTGCAGGAGACAGACAGTGCAATGGTTTGGATTGTGTTGTCACTATGCAAATAATTCTTAGCTCTGTCTCTTTTTCAATGAATTGGGATAGTCCTGTCTATCAACCTTCCTAATGTCTAGCTGAAATCGGGGCCTGGATGAAAACTAGTGGGTCTTGGTCCAGGTAAGATGGATTGGATGCTGTTTGGATGGGAGAAGACAGCTGAAGGAGCTCTGTGCATTGAGGAAGTTTCTAAAGCTACTTTAAAGGGGGAGCTTCAGCTGCTCCTGAATATCCTGAGTTTAGTGGCTGAAACCATGGATATTTTCATCTCTCTCTGGGTTTGGAGGATAATACTTTTTGTCATGGATGCACACCGTGCTGGAGGTATCCATGCCTTTGTCATCTCTGGCTTGGATTAGTGTGATGCTCTTTGCCTGAAGTGTCTCTCCAGGTCTACTTGCAGACTGCCATTTATGCAATCCGCAATTGCCTGTTGACATCTTGCTGATGTAATCTGCATGCACGCGTGGTAAAAACCCATGGCTTGGATCATTCCCATCTTAGATTTTGCCTTGTTCATGTTTTATCCTAATGACAAATTACCTGGGACATTAAAGTTGGCAATCCCTGTATTTGGGAATTGTCCTGGGTGTGTGGTGAAAGTTTTGATTCCTGATTTGGGCTGCTTACGCAGCTAAGCCTGAATGGTTGACCATCATGGCTTTCCATAATAGTCAGTTGTTCATTCAGGCTTCTAACAGAATGGGTTGTGCATGAGGATCTCTGATGTGGGGGGCTGGTGGAAGGTATGTTTTCTTGTTGACGTTAATGCTGTTAGAGAACCTAGGTGGTGTGTGTAATTTTACATATGTTTTCCATAGCCATTGGCAGCCATATTTACTTTTTTTCTCTTTCTCCTTTTTGACAGTCTGTGGGTTACGGCAGAATAGATCAGTCAAGTCAATGGCAAAATCATCATCGTTGCGAATAGTTGGCGGATTGTCTTCTGCAGAGACCGGGGACTGGCCATGGCAAGCTAGTTTGCAGTACAATAATATCCATCGCTGTGGTGCAACACTCATCAGCAATACATGGCTTGTATCTGCAGCTCACTGCTTCAGAGAGTAAGTTCCCATCTTAGAGAGAATCTGCAGCAGAATGTGCCCCATGTGTATCAAGTTGTGTGGCTTTCCAGATTTGCACCACACCCCTGGCTCTTTCCAGGGGAACAATTTTCTGCCTTGGAGGAGAAAAGTCAGGGTTAAGCAGACCCATCACTTTAATGTTTCAATGAGAAATTAAAGACTGACTCTTTGGAGCAGAACTGGCAATTGTACGAGTGGAAATCAATAGTCACTTGGCAAAGAAGTGCGGAAAAGGTAATGTGACTGAAATGGCAGAGTATTTGTTTCCTATTGCACTAAATGTTTCTAAAGGTGTTTCTTCATGTCACAACTAGGTTGCTGCCACTGCAGGCTGCCACCAGAAGTTATAATCCCACATTCCTACCCCTCCATTCAGCCATGCACTCCCAGCACTTTTTTGTTTCAAGCATGGCAACTGTGAAGCTGCAGGGCATGTAAGAAGGAACAGCTGATTCAACAGATTATTAACATGCAAAAAGAGTAATGGAGATGGAGAGTTTTCTAGCAGAAGAGCTTTTTGATTTGATTACACCCTGCAGCCACACAATGGCTAGATCAGGTACAAGGAGCAGGGGAGGAGTATGAGACTGGTTGAGGAGGGAATGCAGGATTGCCCTCTTCTAGCAGCAGCCCACGATTACACGGGACACAGTATTATGGAAAGTGATGGATGCCTTAAGAATCTAATAGGGAGCTGGCTTGAAGGAGCTTTACCATAAAGGTGCTCAGCAAGTTTAAAGTCCCGAACACTTATATTTACAGCTAAATACTTACAGCACTCTTACCTTTTTCAGCATGAGTCACCCTCAGAAGTGGACTGCTACTTTTGGAGCTCTTTTGAAGCCACCAAGTTTGAAACGATCCGTCAAGACTATTATTATTCATGAAAAGTATCGCTACCCAGAACATGATTATGACATTGCACTTGTGCAGCTCTCTAAACGAGTTGAGTTTACGAGTAGCATACACCGCGTTTGTCTGCCTGAGCCATCTCAGACTTTTCCGTACAATATTTATGCTGTCATCACAGGCTGGGGAGCACTTACCAATGATGGTGAGTCCTGAGTCTACCAGGCGACCTGTATGTTACATAAACAGAGGCTCTGATCTACTACTGAATTGATACCGCTTCTGTAACCCTATGTTGCATGGCAGCAAGCCTAATGCTTTGTCTATATGCAATAGGTTTGTTTAATCGTAAGCAGCAGTTTCTTGTTCTAAAATTAGACTGGACAAAGACAGAGCCTCAATTCACTGAAGCAAAAACAGGAAGAAGACTGTTCTTTTTCCAGCCTTTCCATTTCATATTGTAAATTCTTAAGACAGGTAGTCCAGCCATGCATGTGTTTATATAGCATCTAAAAAATATTTTCCCAGTGCTAGCCAGAAGCTACAGGTAATTCTGTGGGCTTTCAGGTACATGTGCAGACTGAGCTGCAGATGGTGACTAACCCACGCTCGCACTCTTATCAGGCCACACCAAGAGTAGATTTAGCAATGGAACAAAGATGTCTTCATTTCGTATCATCTGCCCAAATTGCTAGGTAATTTGTGTTCCATGGCATTATATGGAATATGTATAAAATATATGGTTTTACACTTAAGGCACTACGTACCATGCAATCGTTTCTTCTATCTTAATGGTACAGTTCCTAAGTGAGACTATGAGTACATACATTTTCCTTAAGGGCCTAACCTAGACAGATCAAGCAAAACCTCCACATTAAACCAAGTCAAGCTGGTCCTTCATAAGAGAACATTAAATGCTCTTCCTGTATCTTCACTACTGCGAAGTAATTCTGTTGATAAATACCTAAACTATATTTTCCCTCAGGTCCAACTCCAAACGCTCTTCAGGAAGCAACAGTGAAACTTATCAGCTCAAACACTTGCAACAGAAAAGAAGTGTACAATGGGGACATAACACCCAGGATGTTGTGTGCTGGATACTTGGAAGGAGGAGTAGATGCTTGTCAGGTAACTGTAGCTGAAAATTAGAAAGGAAAACTATTTTAATGCTGACTCCAATATCTGGTTGACCAAATCTTAACTGACCGTGTATTAGTCCTTTAAATAGGCTCCATTCAAACAGGAATTAAGTTGTAAAATGAAATAGCAGTTAGTACACGTAATTTAGCACATGAACACCCTTCTAAGAGAGCTAAATTAGTATAACATTCAGAATTTAAACCTTTCATAGCATGAAATGAAATTCTTATTCTGTAACTCAGAATAGCTGCTTCTCATAATTTCTTGTGTGTGAAATCTAATTAACAATTTGCTTGCAAAGTGATATGACAAGACATTGACAGAGATACTAAATGCTGAAAGACTAAATACAAGCTAAAATTTAAATGTCTCAAGTAGCCAAGACTAGACATCTGTACAGTTGGAAGGAAGAAGTTTAAGAATGTAGCAGTTACGTTGCCAGCAAAAATGCACTATCACTCATTGAAATTAAATTCTGGACTGGATCATCTCATAACAGATCTGTTATGATACAATCTTTGGTAACAGACTTTGATCAGTGGAAGGAAAACTGTCTGAAACAAAGATAACTATAAGGAAGCTAGGTGTAAATGCAATGGTAAGAATACATGCGTAGTGCAGGTTTGCAAATGTTGCAAGGAAATGCTTATGTTCAAACAAAATATTTCCATAATGATAACTTTTAAAAAGGTAATTTCTATTTATGTTATTTACAAAGAATGTACTTCTAAGTGCTGGTTCAAAACAGACCCCTTCCAGAATCCCAGTCCTACAAATTTATGCCCAAAGCAAACTCCCTGCAGAGTAAGTCTGGGAGGCTCAATTCCCAGAATAAGTCTGAGAGGCTCAATTCCTCTGTTCCTGTCTGGCTCAGCATTGAAGAGACCTGAATAGAAGGGTGCAACTGCTGTTTATTTTAGTAAAGCATTTTGGTGGAAGACGGGGAATCTGCTCTGTCATGTGAGGATAGCCTTTCAGCCTATAAGGTTTCGAGTTTAACTGTTATTACCATGTCATGCTATTAACAGTATCTGAATTCAGCCTTTGAAAGTGGCTAACAACTTAAGGAGATACTGTCTAATTAGAAGACCAAGTTCCTGATGAAATCCTTTTTGAAAAGTTATTGCTGCAAGTGACTAAAAGAATTTCTTGGAAGGATAGTGGTTACTGTAAAAAAAAAAAAAAAAAAAGTTCCTGTTGGCTTAGATTCCTGTATATATTTGTGTTTCCCTACTTTGTACAAGGAGGAGGACAAGGCAGGTGGGAAGCAGCGTTTCACAAAACAGAAGAGAAGCTTTTTTTTTTACTGTAAACAGTCAGGAGGTTCCATGGCAAACAGGAAAAAGCCACAGACTTCTGACTGAAGTTTCAGAAACAGTCTGGATTCTGCACAAATGACAGTTCTTGAAATAGTGCTTGCTTTCTTCTCTTATTGGACACACTCTCCTGCCTGTGGACAGAATTATATTTTCTCCTCTGATCAATTAAATCTTTTTCTTCCCCTCCTCTTTCTCTAGGGGGACTCTGGGGGACCACTGGTTACTCCAGACTCTAGACTGATGTGGTACCTCGTGGGAATAGTGAGCTGGGGAGATGAATGTGCCAAACCAAATAAACCTGGAGTTTACACACGAGTGACTTATTTCCGTGACTGGATTACCTCAAAAACTGGCATCTAATTCCAAACTCGGAAATGGATTTAACCACATAGACTACGTGTAACTCACATTTGTTTGTAACACTGAAAGTTTATTTTTTTAGTATATATTCCTATGTAGTTTTGGTTGAAGCAACTTTTGCCTGCAGCAAGCGCTATCTTTGCTGTCAGAGATCCTAACCCCTTGTGAATTTATACTAAACATGTGAGATTGCCTGCCTCATCTTTGAACCTTGAAACATTCTCACTTATCAGAAATTATGAACAGACATAATTAAACTAACATTTAAAAGCTACCAATTTACCTGCTTTAAAATAAAACATTTTCCAGGGAAAAAAAAAGAAATTTTTCTTCAGCCATGGCCAAGGTCTGAAGCTAAACCTTCTTCCTCCAGTGAAGCAAATGCTGTCACAGCTGTTTTTCTAGCAAAGTGAACCCTTGATTATTATTCTTGTTAGAGACTATCATCTGCACAGACTGCAGTCGAGACCCTGGATGCTCACCCTGCTCGGTGGCCTTGATAGCTAACAGTGGATCAGCCAGGACTGAGGGTAGGTCCTAGCTAAGGAAAAGGAGGATTTCTGTGCTTGCAGTAAGTTGGAAAGGAAGAGAGAAAAGCTTGATGTTCTTTTTTCGAAGCACATTTTTAACAGGAAATTTTTTGTGGATTCTGTTAAGTTCAAGTGACTTGAAAGTGCAATTGTGGAAGTGCTTTATCACAATGCTGTGCTGCTACCTCTGTACCAGTTGCCTTCTAGATCTACTCTGTTCAAATCACAATATGCTTAAGATACAGAAACACAAGCTCTACCCGAATTTGTTTCTAATAAGTGTGTCCCCACAAACAACCTCCCTGGAAGGAAACCCAACGTTTAAATTTGTGCTAAAGGAAAAACAAATATTCACCATAAATGAACTGGGAACTACGTTTTTCGTTTAAGAAGTAAGTGTGCTTTTCCAAGGGCATGCCAGCCAGTGGAAATCATCTCATTGCAAAGAAAGCAATTAGTGATACTGTCTTGCTTCATTGATGGATTAATCTCTGCCATGAAGGAATATGATCCTGTCTTACGAGGCTGAAGAGTAATTTCATACTAAACAACAGTCCCAATAAGAACTTCAGAGTAAATGCAATCCTTATACACTGATTAGCCACTTTTCCTACCTCTGTGCATGACATCTCATGGATTGCTGGTGAAAGGGGGTCCAGTGACGTGACTATTACTGTCCCCTAGAGCCCAGGCCTTCAATATGAGGATCCAAAAATGTCACTCCAGTACTGTCTCCTGCGGTCTTTGAATGGCCACCGGACTGCTTAGGTTGCGAATGCAGGACTCACAGGAGTCTGTATGAGACATGAAAGAAGCTGCAAGCCCTACAGCTGAACCTACTACAGCTGAAAATTTCTCCGAAGCATCCTGCCTCCCCTTCTGCTCAGGAGTAGGTCTCTCCTCAGCCTTCCTACTGTGCAAGCTCTCCAATAATCAGCATCCCTTGGAATGAGATGCTCAGCATTTCTTGAAAACTCACACCCTAAATTACAAGTCTTACGTATGGATGGAAAAGCCTATGTTTAAGCCTCGGTGGTGGTGGAGGGGGTTGTCTTATTATCAGTCTCCTTCCAGTCTTTCTATTTATCTTTCGAATTTCAGTAAAAGACAAGATGCCTTATCTCAGAAAGAAATCTATTGAAGGTTTTAGATTAGTTTTGGTTTTGAAATAGTAGTATCTTTATTCTGATTTTCCATGTCCATTACAAAATGAAAAGGATCTTGGGACAGTTAGGAGGATAGTCAGATGCAGCAAATCTGTTTCCTTAATTTATTGATGAAGTTTGTAATTTATGCACTTTTGAGTTGCTGCTATTTTTCAACTAAGAATTTACTCTGGGCCAGGTTCAGTTACAAAATAGAAACTTCATGGAGTTTTGGATTAGGTCACCTGGAAACACTGTTTTCTTCTAGTGTCCAGGTCCCCTTTTTTCGAAGGCATCCTTTGGAAAAAAATTACATCTAATTTTTTGTGCCTCTTATTGCTTTGAAGGTGAAAATCATGACAAGTGTCCTTCCTTATAGTCAGCTGATGAGTTGCAATTGAAAGTAAACAGTAGTTCACTTTCATAGATAGCTAAGGCTTTGTTTTGCACTTAAATCTATCTTTTTGCCTAGCAAACGGAGGGGCAACAATAAGGAGGTGAGGCCCAGATTAGATACAAGCCCTATAAACTGGTTCCTACCTCACACTGCAAGTGACATGTATTATACCTTTAAAATAAGAAAGGCAGCCTTTATTTCAGATTTTCTTGTGAGAGGCCAAACAGCCAAAAGGTGTATGGGAGAATGTCTACCTTACTCAGGGAGTCCTCAGCCAGCCAGATGCACTTTTCACAAATTTTTTAGCAAACTGTCTGGCCTGGGTTTGTCTTATACTCCATGTCAGTGTTTTATTTATGAAGACTCTGTTTGTTTTCTGCCCTAGAATAAAACAAAGAGAATATTGTGTGATTAAAGACAAGATTTTTAAAAACCTTTTATTATTGTTGATGTTAAGATTTAGCAAGGATTTAAATAATATAAAAGTAATATGTTTCATAACATTAAATGTATTTTAAAACAATTGCTCCTTTTTTGTCCTTTTTTGCTTAATAATAACAAAGCTAAAAATTGTATAAGATGCAAAATAGACTAATCTTCGTTACTTTGATATAAGACTATCCTAAAACTGTAGCGCTCTCTGTTCATTCCACATCCTGGGAATTGTTTGTCTTTAACAGTGGTTGGAGCTTTACAGATGTTTCAGCAAAGATAAGGTGGGACATCTGCTTTTCTAAAATACTCAGAGGTGAATTTCAGTTAAGCTAGCGCTATGCAAATTTGAGAATGGATCTGAAGCTTCATCCAAGAATCCACCACCTTGCTTCTGGCCTTGGAAAAACTTAATTCTTGCAATGTGACATTCCTGGAAATTGGCTTTAGGGACATCTACGCAGCTGATGTACCAATTCTCCTGAGATTCCCCAGGCAGATTTAAAGCATCAAGAAACGTGTTCCAAACTTCTGGTTATTCAAATCAGGTTGTTTGAGGCTTGCCCAATGCTAATTTTCAGCCTGGAGCACAAGTGGGAAAGAAAGAAAAGGCTGATTGCACAAGGCCTAATCACGTGAGGAGGTCTGGTTGAATGACATCAATCCGTCACCGGGATTCCTTATGTAAGTAAATCTTGTAAAAACTCCAATCCTGTATCTGCTGTTCCTGTTAACAAATTAGAAGAGCTGAGAGCCAAAAGTTATTATTTAACCCAGTAAATATTTATCTGGCAACTTGCAGCCTGCATTAGAGATGCACGTGCATGGAAAAGCTGGCTCTTGCTTTTGGAAATGCATTCATGCACATGTCAGCATGGAATCAGCTTAGGTAATTGGTGCCCTTGTTTATCTGGATCAGGATTTTAACAACATTGTTAACGTGGTTTCTAGGAAGGTGTCACTTGCTAGAGCAGTCTTAAGTGACAAGATCCTTTGGCCCACCCCATTGGGAAGCTGGAGTCCTTTTAAACATGCCAGCAAAGCACTCCTACACTGCGCGTTGTGGCGGAAAGAGGAGGCAAAGCCTTGCCAGTCAGCACCTTGCTCCTCCAAGAGCTGATGGCAAGCCATAGCCTGTGGCAGGATATTTGGAAACCCATTGAAGGATGATGTGGATTTATGGTCATTTCTGCACTGGCCTGTTTGCTAAACTGAATTGTGTTGGCCTTAGTATTTTCAAATAACACATTTTTAGGGAGAAAACTACATAGAGTTTTGTCTGCTAATTTGCTTATTAACTAAATAAATCAGGCAAACAAGTGCATCCCCCCAGATCCCTGCTTTGGAGTCCCCATTAAGAATGTGAAATCGTGCCTGGAAATCAGGAAATTAAAAGACTAAAATAAAAAACCAAAAGTGCAAGTGGCTGGGATTTTCCCAGCAGATGGAAAGGAGATTTACAGCTATATCAGCTTCAGCTCCTTTTGAAAATACTGGCTCTAAAGATGTATTCAATACCTGCATGCAAAATGAATCTACACTAGTGCACATAAACTGAAGTTACAGAGATTTTGGGCATGAATAGGCTTGAGTCCAGAGGTGGTGGTGTTCTCCTGACCACAGCCATGTACTGCTTATTGCTTCAGCAAGTCAGTAAACTGACAGCCTTGCTTCGTACCTTTTGCCAATCTCAAAAGCTATAGCTGACTTTAACATGGTACAAATACGGAGTTGCGATTTCTTTTAAAATTAATTTATTTAACCACATTTACTAGGATTTTACAGTTATATGTGTTTTTAAAAGAGAAGGCTATGGGGAAAAAGAAAAGTCAAATGGCTCCAGATGCTTCAAATTTTGCAGTCTTGGAAAATAAGAGAAAAACCTGTATATTTTTTTGATTTGGTACCATCAACCTAGAGGGCTCCTGAGTACACCTACTAATTGATGCATTTGGGAACCAGTTTCTTTGGCTTACAGGGTAAACAGAATCTGTCCATTTTTATTTGGCAATTTATCTTAGAATGCCCATGTTCACGGTTTCACTGATGGTTAGTCTTTGCTTAATTACTGCTGAACTGTTAGGCGAGAATTAACAGGATGTTGCAGTTTCTCCATTTAGGCAAAAGGCTTGTCAGTATTCACTGTTACTATGCAAAATCCGTTTCTTGTGAGATGACTGCATATCAAAGTGACTGGTATCTTAAAAAATGCAATGACCAGGACAGAAAGATGGTAGGTAGCAAATTTTTTTTTTTATTTTTCACAACACATTCGATTAGTAAGTTCTTAAAAATAAGGATTGTTAGTTTAAATTAGTTTAACCTTAAAAAAAAAATTGAAAGAGGTTCATTTTTAAGGAAAGAAACCACAAATTTAAAGGTAAAAATCACTGTCAGAACTAAAAATTAGCGAAGTAGCAAAACTGAAGCTGACATTTTTTGCTGTCTTTAAACTCTCCATCACTTTTTCCCCACCCTTTATAACTGGGACTCCTG